GCGAAGACGGTGAACACAAAAGATTAATATTGGGTTCACTCAAGTCTCAGGGGTCGTTTGGTTCAGAGAATGTCAAATTAACACGGGAATGTCAAATTGCTGGGTATGTTAGATTGATGGGGATGTATCAAATTTATTCACGTGTTTTGGTTAAGATTAAGGGAATGTGATATTAATTTACTTGGTTGAAAGATATTTTATATTGCATATATGATGAATTACTTCAATGCCCTTTAAATATTTTATCTTAACACAATAAATCTATTACAACCTACACTTAAAGTAATTAAAATTAAAGAAAAATTGAAATATCTTGATAATAAATAAAATCAAACCTAATTGAATTATTTTTAAGTAAACTATGTTTAATTGTAAAAAGTTGTAAATCCAATTCAAAAGTGAAACAAAAATTGTTCAAATAGTAATCTACGCAATAAATATATTTATTATTATTTCAAAAAAAGTAAATCTAAAAATGTTCAAGTTATTCATAAAACTTCTTTTCAATTTAAAGAAAAACTGATCAATTTTGCCATTAAATTTTGAAATCAACTCATCAAAAACTTAAATAATCTATAAGTCCTATAAAATAAATACCTTGAAAAATTTAAATGTTAAGGATTATGAAAAAAAAATAGACATTCGAATATGATTAAATAAACATACTACATTTGTCCCACTTAAAAGGTTGTCACTTGTCACACAATCTACGATCGACTAGCCATAAAATTAACTGATCTCTTTCAATAATAAGATTATGTTTTAGTAAATAAAATTTACATATTTAGAAACTGCATTAAAAGTTTTTTAAAATCGCACTATATAAAGAAATTAATTGAAAAGAGATAATTAATTGAGGGTATTTTCGGAAGAAAATTAGACAATCCCCGGGAATGTAAGATAACCTAATGCATGGATAGTTATAAGATTCCCCTCCATATTACATTCCCGGGAATGTAACTTTTCCAATTTTTTCTCAAACTCATGAACCAAACATTGGTATTTGACATTCCATCATCACATTCCGGCCTTCACGCAAGATTACCCCAAACCAAACCGGCCCTCGAGGATGGACGTAGACGGTGAACAGAAATTTAGCTCTCTCACGGATTGAGGTGGATTTCTGGGAGTCCAGGTTAGACCAACGAATTAGAGATCATTTGGTGTTAAAAAAAACATATTTTTCAATGAAATGACACAGAACGATAGGAAACCTATAAATTAAAACTGTTTCGCCATCAAATGAACAAAAACGTGGAGTTAGAATTCAAATATTGAACGAGTTACGTCAATTTAATTGAACTAAGATTTCATGTTATATTTTCAAGGAAAATCATAGGATATCCCCAGAAAAATGAGGCTATTTTAAAATCATGAATACAACGCTCAATTTTTTTGAAAGGAAACTGCCTATATTAAAATACGAGGAACCAACGATATTACAAACTTTTCAATACTAACCAGCATCCTGCTACCTAACTCACCATAATCTGAAGGTCCCCTCACCCCCTGATTAGACATATTGGTGATAGGCCAAACCGCCATTTTTTTACAAAGCAAAATGTTGTTTTTAGCAGCAGTTTGGTGTGAAACCTCCAAAAAACAAACGGAACCATAGACACGACCACCCTAACTAGAGCGGATCGAGTCGCTAACCTTGCGATAGATTTGAATATTAACCCGACTTTTGAAGCCTTCTTACTTCTGAGCATAAACAACCTACCCACCACAGACGCATAACACACACAAATAACAAAGAATCCAACATAAAAGACAAACTGGAAAATAAAATTATTAAAATGCAAACTAATCAAGTCTGCCACTACTAGCCAAACTCCATTATTCTTAATCTCTTCTAGATGAGCCCTTCCACGAACAGCCAAAACACCATCTCGTTCTTTCCATGGCGGTGGTTCAGGAGGAGGCCGAGCCATCAGGATAGCTGTGAATCATGTGATTGATACTTCATCACCAGCCAAACTCTGCGCTTCACCAAACCTGTCGCCCGTCATCAATCTACTACTTGCTAGGGCCTAGGAACAATGCTTTTCCGCTCACCGTAATCTACATCTTTGATGTGGTGGTACCGACAAGTGCTAGACTCCCATGTACCGCACTCAAAGTCATGGCTTCGATCAATATAGACCCATCTTCTTCTTCCATCTCCATATTGTCGTACGCTTTGCACCAAATCGGCCAATACCTTGACTGTAGCCAGATTGCCCATGTCGCTTGCGCTTGAGACCTACTCACAGAGAATTCACTCATCGTCGCCCCCCCTACAAATCAACCAGCACCACAAAGGAACTGAATCGGCTTGCGTCTCGCACCAATGATACTCCACCGATTGTCCAATTCTAGGGCTGTATCCAATCTTCCGTCTGAACTAGGGATGGACTCAGGTCGGGTAAACTGGCCCGTAACTTGCCCGGCCCGACCCGGTACCCAAGTCTGTGCCCGATTCGAGCCACCCGGCCTGGTACTGTTTCGGGGCGGGCTCCGGGTCTCAAAAAAATGAAACGGTTCGGGCCAATTTTTTTTGTTTTTTAAAATTTGAAAAAGGTAAACGGGTTGGGTTGAGTATTTTGGACGGGCTTGGGGTGTGGGGGGTAGGAAGTAATTAGAAAATAAATAAAAAATAGGTAACCGGGGCTGACCCGACCCGGTCAGGGCCTGACCCGAACCCGGTAGCTACCCGATCGGGTTGGATTCGGTTCGGGCCACCCGGCCCGTGACCCAGCCCGGCCCGGTACTGTGCAGGCCCGGGACCGGCCCGGTCGGGCGGTCCAGGACCGGGTATGCACCCGAACCGGTGGGAATGGGCGGGGCGGGCTCGGTGCTGGATTAATGTGACCCGGTACTTGCCCGGCCTGACCCGGTACCCAAGTCTGTGCCCGATTCGAGCCACCCAGCCTGGTACTGTTTCGGGGCGGGCTCCGGGTCTCAAAAAAATGAAACAGTTCGGGCCAAATTTTTTTGTTTTTTAAAATTTGAAAAAGGTAAACGGGTTGGGTTGAGTATTTTGGACGGGCTTGGGGTGTGGGGGGTGGGAAGTAATTAGAAAATAAATAAAAAATAGGTAACCGGGGCTGACCCGACCCGGTCAGGGCCTGACCCGAACCCGGTAGCTACCCGGTAGGGTTGGATTCGGTTCGGGCCGCCCGGCTCGTGACCCGGCCCGGCCCGGTACTGTGCGGGCCCGGGACCGGCCCGGTCGGGCGGTCCGGGACCGGGTATGCACCCGAATCGGTGGGAATGGGCGGGGCGGGCTCGGTGCTGGATTAATGTGACCCGGCCTAGCCGGGTCGGGCCTAGGCCCGGGTCTGGTCTTATTTTAAAAAAAAAAATTGTTTGGGCTCTTGGGCTACTAGCCGTTGGGGGTGGGGCTGGGGACAACCCAAACGGCTATATAGCCATTGGGTGGGGTAAAGGGGGGGTCCGGGGGGGTTGGCTGGTGGGGGGTGGTGGGGGGGTGGGGGGTAAAAAAACCTATAAATTCTCCTAATCTTAAACATTTTTTCATATCTCTTCTCCAATTCTTCCTAAATCCTATTCTTAACTCTCTACTCTCTAATTCTCTTATTCTCCAATATATTATATTTATTATTTATATATCTACTTTATAGTTTATACTTAAGAAGTTAAGATGGAAAATCAAGATGCCATTATACGGTATAATTTTGATAAGCAGAAGGACCCGAAGACCGGGATGTGGTACGCAATTTGCAAATGGTGCGAGAAAAAATGTAGCATGGGGGTTTCTGGCGGATTCGGGATGGCAATCAAGCATATGAAGTCATGTGACAAAGCCAAAGGATCGGGAGGTGCGGGAAGTTCCGATTGATTAGAATTTTCAAAATGTTTATCTCTTAAAGTTTGTTTTAATTTTCAAATGTAGTTCCTATTTCATTTCAAATAAATGCAATTGAAGTTTATTTTTAATACTCGTATAAAACTATAAACTATAAAATATAAATTATAAAAAAAATTAACCGGCCCGGCCCGAACCGGACCCGACCCGTGACCCGGGCGGGTGGCCAGGCCCGGACCGGACCCGTCCAACCCTCGGGCCGGTCCCGGGCCCATGTCATACTACCCGGCGGCCCGACCGGGCCTAGACCCGAGCCGGTTCCGGGCCTCAAGAATCCCAAAAAAAGCCTGGACAGGTCCGGCCCGGGTCTATGCCTAGTCTGAACCGCACGTCACCGAAAAAGCTTCGGCCATCATTTTCAGTCTACTCTAGAGGCCTAGACTATAGCTAGATCCGTCCACTTAACACTCGATTATTAATTAGTGGGAAAGTTCCCGAAATAGGACTAAAACAGTTTGAAAATTCGAAAATATGACAGTAATATCTCTTAATTAGTGAGGTACGTACCCAACATTCACATTTTTAAATTTGTCTGAATGTAGGGACAATTTTAAGGAGTAAATAAATATAGAAATACTAGTATATACGTAGTATAAAACCTTGATTTACTCGATCATCATCAGTTATTATACAAAAATGGAGTGCGTGGCAAAATGAGGTCTTTTCAGATCATAAAAGCTTATCGGCATTGCCAATTTACGTATACAGTTACGTAAGGAGGAAGATATGGGCCGGGAAGCTGGCAAGGTCATCACGATCACAATAAGCAAAAAGACAAATTAACAAACATGATAGAAGAAGCAACTATCCATCTATTATGTATGTATATAATAATACTTTAAATGTTATGTAACTTATGTTATGGACATGGCGGAATTGAACGAAGAAGATTTGCCGTTGCCTCGATCTCCCCAACCTGGCCGATAAGGCTGCGTTCGTTATATATATGTCTCCTCCACTCACAATCATTTCAATATCAATTTATTTATAGGAGATAATTCCAATTTCCAATTAAATGAGAATGTGATGTAGCCATCCTTTGGATCTTTTCTATAAAAAAAAATAGATGCCGTCCATAACCTTGCTTCTATAAATTGAAGCCCTCACCTAAAGGCCATAATCCATCAACTTTACATTCTACGAACTAGCTCCACATATACTTTTCTTGTTTCAGTCCGGAGTTCTGAAAATGGCTTCACATTTCTCTGCGCCTTCAATGGTACATAGCCCTGTCTTTGTCCATCCTATCACTCGCAGTTATTCTTTTTTACTCATTTAGTACGGAATGGTTTCACATATTTGTGGTCATGACCAATTGTCAAATTGACCCCATCCAATTATCGTTGATTGTACGCACTGTGGAGTTACCGACTTGCCGCTTACTCCCGAAACTTTGTCAAGTTTGACCGAGGACGGATGGAGTACTATATGTACCGACACTTTAGCTGATTTTAGAGGTGAAAATTTGAATAAGAACCTAAAGTCCGATTTTGTGTGGGGTTACCTTTAAAATGAAGGGATTCCTTATGCACGTCAAATATTAGTTTAGCCTTTGGACCAGTTTAGTCACCCTAATTTTACCTCTCACCTATTTTATCAGGTTGCACGGTGAGACCCGTTGGAGGGGCTATTCCATCTTTTGATACAAGTATTAGGGTGTTCGGAAACTTTTAAATGTCATTAGTATTTGCTTTTAGGACAGATTGATTCTTAACGTTTTTAGTACAAATATATCTGTAACTTCACTAATATTGATTTATCATAAGCCATGACGCATTTATTCATAACGCAATTATTTCACTTGAAAATTACGTAGTTTTAAACACATCTCTTAGCTTAGCATCACAATTTAAAAGAGAAATCCTTTGTATTTTATTTTCTGTTCTGTTTTTTTTGTGATACGCTCCGTATATTTTGTTATTTGTGTAATTTTCATTGCTGTAAGTTTTTCTTTACTATTTTATTACAGGGGACGGGCCTTAGTAGAGACCCAGGGGCAACGGCACGCCCCAAAAAATCACTATATATACAAAAAAAAAATTGCCCCCACCTCCCCCCCCCCCCAAAAAAAAAGTATTTTGGCCTTCCCAAAATATAGATAAATGTAATATTTGCTTTCTCAAATCTTAAATATATATTTATTAAAAGTTAAAAAAGAAAGAAATCAAATACTAGAAATTAAAAAGTGACACATGGTCTATACGAATCTATTTAAACAAAAATAGATTCGTATTTGATCTATTTAATCTATTATGTACTCTTTTAAACAAAAATCTGAAAATTTGAGGGCCACTCCAATTCCTAAAAAATAGAAATTCAAAGTGACATGTACCTCAATACTCTATACTATGTATGAAAATAAAATGAGGCAATTCTCATAAGCTTTTGACTCAAAAGTTGTGATTGAGGAATTAATCTCTTTGGAGATTTCGTAACAGTATATTTGTCTTTTCTTTTAGATTTTGTTGTCTACTGTGTAATATGTGTGTGTGTGTGTATTAATGCTTCATTTTATATATGATGGAGTAGTATGTATAAAAAATTACAATTACAATAACCAACTTCTACGATTATTTTGTTTTAAATACGAGAGGGGGGCAGGGGGCCATTGTGAGGACTGAGGACAGTGGGGACAGTTGTCCTCCCACCCCAACTTTGCCGCTATATATTTAACCTTTTTATATATTTTAAAATTACTCAAAATACAAATTAAACATAAGAAAAATCTAAAATAGAATTAAGAATGTTTCCTTCCCTAAACATAGGATTTATGTATCCTACTAAAAGAAAGAAAGGGTAAAAAACTCACACAATTTTGTTTTGTTAACTACTACTATATTTAGGTAATTTTTTCAAATTTATCTACAATTACATTTTTACACACATGTAATATAGATTTATCTTCTTTTCATACATACTGCATTTATAACTTTAACTAGCCAAGTATAATCATAACAGTATAAATAAAGTGATTTACTATTGGTGAAATATGTCACTAAATTATAGTGTAAGTTGGCCATCACTCAGGCAAATTTTCTTCAACTCCCCCAAGATAAATTTCTTGGGTCCGTCACTGATCATATATCTTCTATTTTCATTTTCTTTTTATAAATTTACATCTATTAGCAAGTAGCAAAAAACTACGGAGTATATTAGTTAGAGAATAATAATAATGATAATAATACTAAAATGGATTTTTGTGAGAAAGGTATTACGACTTTGCTGATGTATGATCATTTTAGTTTTATATTAATAGCGTAACACTACAACTACCACCGAATTAGATAAAGTTAGGAACAAAAAAACTGCCCAGGCCATACATATGACATAACACCATCAAATACAGATAATTTAAAAAACTTAGTTTTATTTGATGAAAATATACCATTATAACTAATTATATGTGTGTAATCATCACTTTTTTTCATAATATAATAAGTTAAGAATTAGATTTCAGTCTACATGTTAAAAGGTGGACTGATAATCCAAACCTCAATCAAATGTGAAGGATACGTTTTCCCTTTATTTTTTGTATTTGGATATTGGATCATTTTGTCTTCGGCGTACAGATATTGGAAGAAGAGAGGAGATTTGAGGAGGAGGTGGCAGAGGTGGAAGCATGGTGGAACTCCGAGAGGTTCAAGCTGACACGCCGCCCATACACAGCAAGGGACGTGGTGGCGCTTCGAGGCCACCTGAGGCAAAGCTACGGATCGGACGAGATGGCAAAGAAGCTGTGGAGGACACTGAAGAGCCACCAAGCAAACGGGACATCATCGAGAACCTTTGGGGCGCTTGACCCGGTCCAAGTCACGATGATGGCGAAGCATCTGGACACCATTTACGTCTCCGGGTGGCAGTGCTCCTCCACCCACACCTCCACCAATGAGCCGGGCCCAGACCTCGCCGACTACCCCTACGACACCGTCCCCAACAAGGTGCAGCACCTCTTCTTTGCTCAGCAGTACCATGACCGGAAGCAGAGGGAGGCCAGGATGAACATGGGCAGGGAGGAGAGGGCCAAGACTTCCTTCATTGATTACTTGAAACCCATCATCGCTGATGGAGACACCGGCTTTGGCGGCGCCACTGCCACCGTCAAGCTCTGCAAGCTGTTCGTGGAACGTGGCGCAGCTGGAGTCCACATTGAGGACCAGTCCTCTATGACCAAGAAGTGTGGACACATGGCCGGGAAGGTATATCTTGTTACGAATAATTTATTAATTTATTCTCATTCAATAATGGAATATTTGAGATTCAAAGAATTTATTCATTTCTCAAATAATATCTACATATGAAACTATTTAAAATAGAAGTAAAATATAGACAAAGTTTTAAAATGGGAGTATGTATGTTTCTTTCAAAATAGGAATAAAAAGAAATATGTTTATAACTCAGAATAATTTCTATACATACGGAGTACTTTATAATCATCAGTTTCTAAATTAGTCCATTTCCATTGAAGAAAGGCAGTATGGATCCACAAAACTTCTATAATTAAGTATTATACATAATACTCCATATATTTAATAAATTAATCAGGTACTGGTTGCCGTGAACGAGCATATAAACAGGCTTGTCGCCGCTAGGCTGCAATTTGACATAATGGGCACCGAAACCGTGCTGGTGGCACGTACAGATGCCGTGGCAGCTACTTTGATTCAAACCAATGTTGACACCCGGGACCATCAGTTCATTTTGGGAGCAACAAACCCGAACCTAAAAGGCAAGGGTGGCCTGGCGACGGTCTTGACCGAGGCCATGGCCGCCGGAAAAACAGGGCCGGAGCTCCAAGCCATAGAGGACAACTGGCTATCAATGGCACATCTGAAGACGTTCGCCGAACACGTGGGTGATGCAATCAGCAGGCTGAACATAGGGGAGGCGGAGAAGCAGAAGAGACTGAAGGAATGGAGGAATCTCTCAACGTACGAGAAATGCCTGGCGAACGAACAGGGCAGGGAGATCGCGGAGAAGCTGGGAGTGAGCATGAACAGCCTGTTCTGGGACTGGGACTTGCCGAGAACCAGAGAAGGGTTCTACAGATTCAGAGGGTCAGTGGAGGCCGCCATTGTCAGAGGGTGGGCGTTCACCCCTCACGCCGACCTCATTTGGATGGAGACGGCCAGCCCGGACATGGTAGAGTGCACGAAATTCGCAGTGGGCGTGAAATCGGTGCACCCAGAGATGATGCTGGCTTACAACCTCTCGCCATCCTTCAACTGGGACGCGTCTGGAATGAGCGATGAGCAGATGAAGGATTTCATCCCCAGGATCGCCAAGTTGGGGTACTGCTGGCAGTTCATCACCCTGGCTGGCTTCCATGCCGACGCCCTCATCGTGGACACTTTCGCCAAGGATTTCGCTGCCAGGGGAATGCTAGCATATGTGGAGAAGATACAGAGGGAGGAGAGGAAGCATGGAGTGGACACATTGGCTCATCAGAAATGGTCGGGTGCGAACTACTATGACAGGGTTCTCCGGACTGTTCAGGGAGGCATCACCTCTACTGCTGCGATGGGGAAAGGTAGTTTCTTTAATCTAATTACTTTGTTTTGGATACACTTTGGTAACACTCAAATCTATTGAAAAAACATTTAAAGCATATTTTATTAATAAATATAGAAAAATTATACAAAAAAGGTTAGCAGATGGAACAAAAAAATACCAAGCATTGAGGTAGAAGATTTCAAATATACTATATTAGGGAATTCTCTCTATAAGATACTTTTTTACTAGAATACTAATTGATCATTTTTAGGAATTCTTGCCAAATACTCTTGTTTTCATATTCGTGCAGTTTAATGAATAAAATTGTTGGGTAATGAATAGGAGAAAGAATTACGAGTATGAAAAATTAGTACACTTATGAAAGAGATTATAGAAAGTAGAGATACTATGTATTTTCAAATAGTAAAAACTAAAGTTTGCCCATATAAGGAAATTGAGGAAACAATACAAAAAAATCTTAAAAGGAATGCTATGCAAGTAATAATTGAGGGAAGATATATTAATTAATTAATTAATTAATTAATAGTAAGCTGATATTGGACATTGTCGTAGACAACTTAGGGACAAATTAATGAGCTCTAAACGCAGGGGTAACTGAGGAGCAGTTTCAAGAAACATGGACAAGACAAGGAACAACGGACAGGGGAGATGGAGGTGTGGTGATTGCCAAGGCTAGACTGTAAAGCACACCACCCAAGAAGCAAAGGAAGATGATATGATATGGGAGCTTTGAACCTTTGTATTTGGAAAAAGTACAATAATCTTTTAATCTTTGTGGGATTGGGTCATTTGGGTTGGGAAAGGGGTGTCTTTCACTCATAATCTTCTTAAGCTGCCTCATACTTATCATACTGCTCCCTTATTTAATTTGTCTTTCACTCATAATCTTCTTAAGCTGCCTCATACTTATCATACTGCTCCCTTATTTAATTTGTCTTTCATTCCAATAACGTCTAAGTTTTATTTTAACCAATTCTAGATTTCTTGAGAACAGTTGTTGAATTAAATGAAATGGCGTAATTCCAAGGCTAATAGGCTATATCAAGTTAATGCGCTTGATCATGGGTGTAGTCATCAATGGGGGGAGGGCAACTCGTCCCACATCCTACCCAACTTTGGTAAAAATATTTATTTAATATGTAAAAATATTATATTTAGATTATCTATAAAAAAATTATATGAATGAATTTTAACGAAGCCCACCCCATTTTTCTCACCTGATTATGCCAATGGGCTTGAATTGATATAAAACTTGTACTGCTGTTGATTTTCTTCCAATCAATCCTTCAACAAAACCACCATGTTTTTATATGATTTATAAAAATATATTATACCTATGCACAATATGTTTTCTTTTAGAGAGTTCACAATACTTACAAGTTACAAAAGATCTTTTAGGGTTTTGAATATAATTGTTCTTCATATCAGAATTTGTTTTAACGATTGAATAAAACTTTTATTGATTATCCCGTTCGAAAATGAAAACCAAGCTCACAGCCTGGTAAGTAAAAATTAGAATTAAGTTATAATTGAGCCTGATTCATTTTAGCCATAAATAATAAATTACAGTTTATTAGGGAATTATTAAACTTGTAATTAAACCACCTTAAACTTACAAAAGCACACCTCATTTCAGGATGAATGAGATGACCTGAGTCCACTAAGCCCACTCTGAAATCCAACTTCATAGTGCTCATCATATGCATCCATGACCTAAGTAACCAAAACACAAGCGAAACTGTTTTAAACGCACTCCCAAATAATCAAACTTACGCTGAGAAAATAAACGACAGAATTAACTTAATTCCAGTCCATTCTAAACCGCTCACATTTGGCAGTTAAACTGGTATTACTTAATTGATCATCCTGTTCGAAAAAATAAAATCAAACTCACTCGAAGATCATACCATATAACATCAGGTTTCAGGCATACAACACATTTTTAAAGAATTATATAGTACTTTAGTTCGTCCAGCAACAATCATTACAACACAAAAGAATAAGGATTTTAACCTGCAACTAACTACAACAATAGTTTAACAAAAAAAGTTGAAACCAGTAACCATATCAACAAAATAACCCACCTAATAGTTATTGGTTCTTTCCCGAAACAATTTTACCAAGTGTTAACATTTTGTGGTTTCTATTTATTTTAGGATTTTAGGATTCTGAATGTTGACATTTTCATATTTGAATTTGGTTACAGCATGTAAATAAAACATGTAATGTAGTTTGAAAAAATATATGGATTTTAGTTCCAAACAGTAAATTACAGGTTATTCTGAATTACTTACCTTATCATCAAACCACCTTAAGCGCAAAAAAACACCTAATTTCTAGATGAACGAAATGCATAACAATCGACGCTTGCAATAAAGTTGCTGTTATCAATTATCATAAAATTAAAACTAAGAAGCGCAAGACTCACCTCAGTCTGATTAGCCCACTCCTAAATCCAACTTGGCAGTGCTCATCATATGCATCGGTGACATATGCAATCAAAATCATAGCCCGAAATAATTTTAATCACACTCCCAAATAATCAAACTTACTCTGAAAATAAACCAAACAATAATCTTAACAAACATTTATATATAAACTAGTTTCAGACTCTTTTGACGCCAAACAATAAACTTAAAAAACACTTCCATAACCAAGAGAATCAAGCCATCTTCTTCCTGCTTAATGCAACAACAGGTCTCTTGCTAATCGGCATCAGACCACGAAATATTGCTAAAAAAGAAAATCCTAAGAATGGGTAGTACATCATCAGTAACTTTTCTGATGCTCTCTTGGACTGTGTTTGCTCAGCAAGGATTGCAGCCTGAAATAATGGGCAGGCATTTTAGTTAAAATATAGACAAGCAAATACAAGTCTAAAAATATAACAAATTGTACAACAAATATACAATATTAGTGTTACTATTGCAACACCCAAAAAAGTAACTTGTTTGCCTATTTGTGTTAGAAACGCAATAACTCATTTTTTGTATGAGTAGTCTAAACAAAAAATTGATATTTCATTATAAGAAACTAATTTAACTTGCTATTTAAAGAAATAGAACAATATTCATCAAGAAATATTTAAATGAAATTTGTAATTGAATGCTGTTGTAATGCTTAGGCTGATAGCAAAATAGTGAGCTGTGAGTCGAGCCATAGACCTGTCAACACACATCTTTAGCTTATAAGCTTATGAAGATAGTAAGACAAGACACAAAGCCACTGCACTTGCTAATTACTATAATGAATGCAAAAATGAATCCAGATGATACCAATCCTTCACTATTCATGGGATGGATATCTTGAAATACAAAAACAGTCTAAATAAGTAAATTTTTATTGGAAAAAATGTTTTTATATAAGCTAGGGCATGTTGTTCGAAGTCTAATAGTGAAATTGTTAGTTTTGCCAGCAAGGGAACTTAGGAGCGGAGATTATGATACAAAGATTCTTCATTTATTTATGATCTCTGTTTTCCCAAATTTTGCTTCCATTCAAATTCCCCTAGCTCTACTTTCCACCATATTTTTTCCCTAGCATTTTCTGGGTTCCAAACGGACCCCAAAAATTACTTTAAAAGAAACAAATGCTACAATGAATCGCAATCTGAGCAAAACTAATGGAACTTTCTTAATTATTTTACCATGGAAGTGAGAGTGGAGGCACCATAGAGCAAGCAGGTGGTGCTGACCCAAGATTTCCCAGCGGCGATTCCGTAGAGACTGATTACAGAGAGAGGCCATGCGAAGAGGAGCTCAAGCCAGATCAACCCGACGAAGAAATGGGGCTTCTCGGAAACCAAATAGTCACCATATTCTTGAGTGTACCAGGCCTTCAGGTCCACAACGAAGGTGGGGAAAATGTCTTGGGGAAGAATACATTGGGCATCAAAAAGCGGTGCTACGATTGCAATCAAGAGGAAGAAGATGAACAATATAAGGTCTGTTAGCTTCACAAGAGCTCCCATGTCGTTTTTCCGATGTTCCCTTTTTATCCAAAATCGGAATGTAAAAGGGATAGATAAGGCAAATTAGAGCGGATATCCTAGATCTACAAATTTTGGTGTACACCTTTTTACATTGGCGTACGTGCGACATACGAGTGTACGAAAATTGTACATCTAAATGTGTACACAAACATTTTTTGTTTCAATTAGAGTTTAGACACCTGCTACAAAAATACCTCCAACTAAGGTTAACCGCAATCTAATCCGCCAATAAATCTAATCTCCCACCAATTTATATGTATTCACTCAGTCAATTCAGTTTTTCTCTGAAACCCAGAATTGTCAATATATATTCACTCATCACATATTTTTTTAGTTAAATGTGTAAATCCTTACTTTTTTTATTATCATCTTTTATGTGATAATTTTATTTTTGTCAATAATTATGATTTAAAAAGTCAAACATCCTGATATAAAAATATAATGCAATTAGTACAATTTATGTAAACTGTCTTTATGAATTTAAAAATATAAATATAATAACACAACTAGTAATTATGAATGAACAAAAATGAGAAGGCGAAGAGAAATAAATCTCACCTTGGTTGATAATTAACAATACGGAGTATTAGATTTCCTATCCTTGCACGGATGGCACTTGATGTGCTAGCAATGCCTATATTTACAAAAAAAAAAAGATGACACTCCATTCCTGACGGTCCTCAATCCCGACCGGACGGTATACATTTTTAGCATAGTAACTCTCATCGCAGTTGTCAGGAGTCAAACCCGAGACCTAACCCTTGTGGCACTCAATTGCTACTAGTTGAGCTACGCTCACCGGTATGTCTACATTTACTAGCTGCTTCAGAGTCAGCTTTTAGTGCCAGAGAGCGTCATTTAGATCAATTCAGAGGCTCGTTGACGCCGAAGGTAAGACCTCCATTTTATTACAAAATTCACTTTATTATTAAATTTGAACATAATTAATTTTTTTATTTAACTTTTGTACTCCATGTTTTGATGAAAGATGGTACAAGCTCGTATATGTGGTCACTTCGAGCAGCAATTCGTCAAACTAAGATCAAAAAAATCTCTTTGTACACACTTTAATACACACTACTACACACTATAAATACCTCCAAAAAAATTACCCCCTTTCTCCTGAGTAAAAAACACTGCAGCCACTCCCTCTCTTCCGCATTCCCCTCCTCTGGTACGCTACTCTCTCATCTTCTCCCTTTCCTCTCTCCCTATTCTTACTTCATATTCTTTTCGTTTTCTTTCTTCTACACTCCCATCTATCAAATTCATATTCATACGATTTCTACATAACTTGCCTCTACCAGAAAACACATGAATACTGACGTGAAGTTCCTCCAAATGTGTCAATATTTTGTCCCTCACTTGTTAGGTAATGCCAGGGTTTTTTATATCTAACATTTTTTTCAAAAAGAAGAAGATTTATTTCCTTTTGTGGTTTATGCGATGTAGGGTTATACTAGTTCATAGATTTACATTTTTCTGATTTTGTATTTTAGTTGCAAATTAATGTTTAGGTTTGACTAAAATAATTCTAATTGTTATACTTATTTACGTTTCCCGATTTTAAGTAAATTATATATATTATTATAATGTTTAATTATTGACTACTTTGTGACATTGATGCAAGTGATATAGGGATGTGATGTTAATTGTTGAAACTTTACTCTATTTTATTTTGTGCCCATTAGATGTTTGTTGAAATGCTTCAATGAATTTATAGTTCATTTTTAAGGTTTTGAGGAAGGGGGCTTTAGTAAATTGTTTATTTTTTTAAAGATTGATTCTATCCATTTGATATTTTGGTGAATGACATTTTGTTTTAGAACTTATGTTAGGAAGCATCATCTTTTTTCTGTAGCATGATCTTTTTTTCTGAATCGAGAAAGAATCCACCACCGCAGAGCGAAATGAGCTTTCTTGCATCAAGTTTTCCAAGAAACAGTCAGATTGTTGTCTTTGCCTCAATCATCCTCACCTTCATGACTGTTTTCATGGTTTGCTCCTTCCAGTTTGAAGTTAGAGGCAAGAATCGTTGGACCAAATCCATTGGAAATGAGTCTGAGACCTATAACGAATGTGATGTTCAAAACCGCTTTTGAATTGGAGACCAACTTTGCTTGGTGTACACCTTTTGTGTACACACGTCTGTCCCCAGCAGACGAGTTGTCAGAAAACGTAAATAAGTATAACAATTAGAATTATTATAGTCAAACGTAAACATTAATTCGTAACTAAAATACAAAATCAGATAAATGTAAATCTATGAACTAGTGTAACCCTACATCGCATAAACCACAAAAGGAAATAAATCTTCTTCTTTTTGAGAAAAATGTTAGATATGAAAAACCCTAGTAGTACCTAACAAGTGAGGGACAAAATATTGACGCATTTGGAGGAACTTCACGTCATTATTCATGTGTTTTCTGGTAGAGGCAAGTTATGTAGAAATTGTATGAACATGAATTTGATAGATGGGAGTGTAGAAGAAAGAAAACGAAAAGAATATGAAGATAAGAAATAGGGAGAGAAGAAAGGGAGAAGAGGGGGGTAGTGTACTGTTAGGAATATTTTATGGTGTCCAATCTAATTAAATATCTTTGTATTTGTGTAGTTATTAATTAAACGTGTAATATGGGCCACAAATGTGTATCAGCCCGTTAGCTTCCTTGTAACTCGTAAGTTAGCCAACTTCTCATATAAAAGGAGGCTAACTTTAGAGAATAGAGGCGCAGAGATAGAGAGATTAGGGTTTGCCGCTGCTCTCCTTCTCCAGGGAGAGCAGCGACCAGTTTACACGGTATACCAGATTCGTTTGATTATCTCCATATCTTTCTATCTGCTTCTTCTTCACTGCTTATGTTTGTTGTTCGTTAAGTATACTGGGTTTATCAATTGGTATCAGAGCCGAGGCGTGAAACATGTTGAATCTGTCTGCGATTTTTTGGATCTAACGAAGAACTTCTCTGCTTTTCTTCTCTTTTTCTTCAATATTGAGTTTTGCTCCTATAATCTTGTTTGTGAACGAAAATCTGAAAAAATTATACTGTTGGAATCGCCTTTCAAAACCGATTCTACAGCATATCCTCGTTTTCGATTTCTGCAAATTTTCATTTTTCGAAGAACTCTACATGAATTGCGAGTTTATGCTTTTACACTGCTGCAGAATCATTTTTTTACTTGAAACTGATACAGGAGAATCTCGACCTTCAGGGCTATTCAGAACAGTTTTCAGATTCTCAAAATTCGAAGTTTTCATTTTGCAGGAACTCTGCATATTGGGTCTCGAATTCCTAAACTCGATAGGTTTAAAATCGAGAGTTTTTAAACTCGAGTTCTGACCTAGAGTTTTAAAACTCGAGTTCTGACCTCGAGTTTTAAACCTCGAGTTCTGACCTCGAGTTTAAAACCTCGAGTTCTGACCTCGAGTATTAAACCTCGAGTTCTGACCTCGAGTTTTAAACCTCGAGTTCTGACCTCGAGTTTTAAACCTCGAGTTCTGACCTCGAGTTTTAAACCTCGAGTTCTGACCTCGAGTTTTAAACCTCGAGTTTTAAAATTTGAGAGTTTTGGAATTTCGAGTTTTGGAATTTCGAGTTTTAGAAACTCGATGTTTAGGATTTCGACATTCTGAAAAATTTCAGAATTTTTGGAATTTCTCGATGTTTTGAATCTTTCAAAGTTTGCAGTTTCTTGGAACTCATAATTCGAATCTTGACATCTTTCGCAGTTCATCGAAGCTTTACATTATAGGATTTCTGAATGATTCCCTGCTTATCAAAGTTTTTAGAAGTTTTCGATGTTTTGATATTTTTCAAATAGCAAGTTTTCGATATTATGAGGTTTTCGAAACTCCAAAGTTTTCAATGTTCCAAACATTTTAAAATTTTGAAGATTTCGTTATTCGGATGTCTGTTTTGGAGGTGGATTTCGCCATTACTCTTCAAGGCAAACTCGAAATTAAAATCTCGAGATTAGGACTTCGCGTTTTTGCCTTAGAATTTTGTTTAATTTCACCTGCTCTCGAATTTCAACATCGAGAATCTCAACCTCAAAGAATTTCCTCAAAAACTCAAAATTAGAGATTTTATGCGACACCGCACTGTTTTGGCCATAACTTTTGACTCGGTGATCCGATTTTAGCAAACTTTTTTTTGTTGGAAAGCTAACGAAAAGATCTACATTAATTCTTGGGCTATGCCCTAGAACCCTTTCTCACGAGCCCTCACTCGCAGTCCTTGAGGACAAAACGTTAGTTTTCTGACAAACTTTGTAAATCACCGATGTCCAGGTCAAAACTTAGGCAAATCTGATCAAATTCTTTCAAAGTCAAACCTAAGGTCTAAGCTGCATTGTAAAGGTCTGAAAATCGTAGATAATTCAATCAACCTCGCGTCAACGGTCATCTTACAACAATCAACAATCAACTACTGAAGTCTCCCCTACTCATCAACATTGTGTGATCCTCATACATGCTGAAATTTCAAATGGTGAGCTTAGGGAAACCATCATGTGTGGTACATGTTCAGATTGCTCCACACACATGGCGGGTATGACGAGCTGTGAGCAATCAACCCTTGCACATTCTGAGGGGGAGTTCCAGTTTTCTCCTCCTGGCGTCTTACACCGACAAAGCAAGGAATCTCTCAACGGATGCAACATTCTAGGGGGAGTGTTCAATGTTATCCTCCTCGGTACCTAACAATGACAAAGCATACCGAGTGCTCCAGTTGAGAGGAATACAGAGAGAAAATTAAGAAAGTGATGAGAGAACATGTCCCTATGGCTTAGAAAACCCAACTAAGCCTACCCAAGGGACAAAGCCGAGCGTGAGTGAGTGAGTGAGCGAGTGAGTGAGTGAACATTATGAGCATTAGGAAGCAGAAGGCTCATGTGAGCAAGGAAACAATTATTACTGATAAGTCTGCCACCTCAACTGCCTACTATCCATTGAACATTTACTCCTAGCCACTCAAATACTCTGGACTATCCCCATAGGTTCAGATCCCGGGTAGAAGTCACTGCATCTTGTCCAACAATGCATGTTTAACCC